ATTTGTTCGGAGAGGGGAGACCGTTTTTTTGGGCGGGGGGCCGGTTTTTTGGGGGTGGAAAAAAAAAAAAAAAAAAAAAAAAACAACCCTCTATGGGTCCACCACTTCGTACCCGGAGGATCTCGTTGAAAGTCGGATTCAGTGTCTTTTTCTTTACAGATGTTTTTCTCTTTCCCAGGTTGGCTTTGTCAGGAACCAGGTAACTTTTGACGTACCTTTAAAAAAAAAAATAATCAAGCAACATAATGATATTAATTATAATTAGCTGGAGCAGAACGCGACTTCTATTGAAAGACGTCAAGAAAATTATGACAAGATAGTTATGAACTTCGTTTCTAAATGTCACCAACCATCAGCAAGCAACATCAAGATTTCACTTTTGTTTAGTTTGACCATTACTGCTAAATGGCTAATATGCTGCATATATATTACGGTCAACAATAACACTCGGTTTGAAGGAATACGTTTAGAACTGACGGGTCGGAGCGGTTCCTCTTTGGGTCGACTGCGGCCAGGTCGCGGCACTCCGCCACAAAGATGTGAAACTCCCGCAGCCTTTGGACGTAGTTGATGGAGAACTGGATGGTTCCTTGAACCTCAACCAAATCCCCGCTGTACATGGTCATCACACTCCCACTCAGCTGAGAGCAGACAGGAACAAAGAAAAAATAAAAATCAAGTTAGGCAAACCTTTACAAGAATCTGACCTGAACTGAGTCAGCAAATGTTCTGGCACGTGAGAAGCGTGCCTATCGGTGGCTAAGCTAGCTTTAGCGTCTTAATCATACGCTGCTGTAGCTCATCAAGGCAGTTTGAAGTCCCGCCCCAGTTTTTTTTTTTTTTTTTTTTTTTAGCTCGTAATTACTTGTTGGAGCATTAAGAGAAGATCATGCTTTATTGAATTTTCAAACAAAACATTTGTTCATTTAGGAATATTAGCAATTTTTTGTGTCACTTCACCACAAATTACCCTATTAAAATAAATTATCCATAATATTTCTTTACTCATCACGTTTGTTTGTTGATAAACATACTTTCATTAATTTGTTTATGTTTTAGAGCAAAATACATTAAAGAAAGTATGAATATAGGTTCTAGATATGTTCCCTGTTGTTGAAAAAAAGAATAAACCTGTCTAAACAAAAACAGGACTCCCTGTGCTACAATTTCTTTGCAAGCTTTAATAAATTTTATGAAATAAAACCATGAACTAGACAGAAAGCTACATTTTTTCCCAACCTTTATTTATTTTGCAAACCAAATCCTGAAAAGTGTGACCTCCACTTCTATTCTTCTAACTCACAGGAGATCATATGCAACCAACTGCTAAAACAAGTCACTTAATCAGTAAATAATGTCCATCTGTTTGTAATTTCACTTCGTTATAAATCCAGGTGTTCTGGGAAGGCCTCAGAGAGCCGTTAGCCTATTATTAGCAAACAAACAGAGTCATAAAAGACCAAGAAATGCAGCAGACGGACCAATGATGAAGCTATGAAGTTTAAAGCGGATAGGCTATACAACAACACAAGCACTGAACATCTCATTGAGCTCTGATCAATCCATCATCTGAAAATCACACAACTTCAAAACTAAAAAAAAAAGGAAATCTAATCTGTCAGGCTGGGCAAAAAGAACCTCCTAATCATTAAAGAGATCCACGGTAATGCCGGAGGAACTGCACAGATCAACAGCTAAGATGACAAAATCTGTCAGTAGGACAATATTAAGCAATGTACCGACGGAAAACAACAGATGACACCGCGGCGGTCCAACAAGACTCTAACTCATGATAAGAAAGCTTTTATGAATAGCGAGCACGTGAATAGCGAGTTGATTTGTTTCTTACAGAAAGCGGTCTGTCGTTTTCATAATGTCAAAACAAGTGTAGGGTGAGATTTCGTATTGTATATTTTATTACATGTGATGTTCTGAACTCTTAAAAATACTCGCATCTTCTCTTATTTTTTTCAGACCAGAAAAATGGCCAAGCCTTAACAGCCAGGCCTCAGACCACGGTGCCGAGGCGCTCTTACGGAGTCCACCAGGACGAAGAGAAGTTCAGTAAGTTATGATTTCACATTTAGTCAATAGTGAACACTCGCATATTTGTAAGGAAAACTGATCTTCCGGTTATTTTATTTATTTTGTTATAACACAGTACAGCAAGGCAGAGTGTGGAAAGCAGTAGAGATCAACAACATGGCGGATGGAGGACGGATATAAGGACGGAGCCATGAAACCGGTATGTATTATGTACAGTCACTGCGTTGATTCCCGATTGTACAATGGCTGGTTGAGAATAATTTTAACTTATTTGCTTATGTATTTTTGAGAAAGCGATATATTTGCTACAATATTTTTTTAATTTTACATTTATATCCACAGACACAGACAGTTGCATTGGCAGATTATTTCATTTATAGCAAGACATTTTCTCATGTTATAAGTGAAATAATCTGCCAATACAACTAGTAGTTCTATTGGATCAATATAAATCAATATAAAGGAATTACTGACTTAAAATAAGCTCCTATAACTTGCTGAAAAGTCACTTGTAAGTTAGTACACTTGAAATAAGACTAAGCTAAGTTATTTGCACTAGAAACTGGACCAAAAATACTCAGTAAGATTTAGTGTTTTTGCAGTGCAGTTAGTTATTTGAACTGTTAGAGAGGCTGTTAGGTCAAAATACGTAATGTGATTAATCCGCATTATGTCATATTAACACATTAAGTCCTTTTAGTACTCTGGTTTGAACAGCAGACACTTTAGCAAAATATAAAACATTGAACATGGGTGACCTGCAACAGGGACACAGCGTCACACTTCAAACATCTATGAGACAGTGGAAGTGATGTTTTAGACACAAAACCAACTAAGGCAGCGTTTACACAGGTAGGATGCTCATGCAGAAGCAGCAGTGTGCGAACGTACAGAAGACACAGACGTCATGCCAGAGGAGCTGCTCAGGATAGTCGCTGAGCTGCCCGCTGTTAGTCTTTCTAGAGGGTTACTGCCTTCGCAGAAGTCAACGTCAATGGCGCGCTCCTGAAACACAGACAGACCGCAGGGGAGGAAAGCTTTGTGCGGCTGTACGCAGTGCGGGGTTCGTTCTTCAGACGGGGAAAGCTTTACCTCATTCTGTAAGAACGACGGAACAGATTTGCTCATCTTCTTTAAGTGGTCCGGATCCGAAAAAGAAGAGGAGGACGGAGTGGAGATGGTAGAAACTGTGGAGCAGTATTTCAGAGAATCTTTAGTAAATTTGCGATTCGCATATCAAATGTTTGAGTGTTTTTACCTTCACTGCTGCGCCTGAGGTCAGCAGCCGGGTCAGCCCTTCTTTCTTGCCCTTCGAAAACAGTGAAAAACAAACTATATCAATTGTCGTTACAGATGTAAAACATACAAAAGTTGTAGAGGGCGTGCTGACGTGGTGCTGCGGATGCGGTGATGTCTTCCATGCTTTTAGCCAGATTTTTGGGTCGTGCCTCCGCTCGCCGCAGTGCCTTTCTCACCGGATTTTGATTGTCTTCGTCGATTCCTCCTGCATAGCAGAAGAAAACGATACAAGAAGGACAAGACGTTACATTTTCGGAAATGAGATTTGATTTGGCAGCTTGTTGCTCACAATAGACCAATAAGGCAGACTTTAGGAAAATACATAAACATAAATATAACAAAATGCTATATTGAAATCATGTAAAAAGTGAGAATTCCTTAAATAATGTCCCAGCACAATGTTGTATTATCAAAGTTCAGCCTGGATCTAGTTGTGTTCCCATGAAAAGGTTTAACTTATAAACAAAAGTTATACCACATAGTCATTTTTTTTATGGAAGATTGTTTTTTTTAATAGTTCACATTAAACTATTGTATAACACAATTAAAATCCACATGTGTGAAAATTCTGATGTTTATGTTTGCAGTATATAAAAAATAGAAAGCTTCTTGTTAAATTTGGCTTTCATTTTTGTTTTATAGGTTATTAATTTCTATTTAATTATGTTAATTGATAGCTACCTAATAGGATTTTTTCTTCTAATTATCACTCAGTTCTTTCAAGGCTTCATAAGTTTTTTTTTAAAGAATATTTAAATGCACTTATAAAATAATCTTTTGCTTTGGAGCTTGTTTATGTTTAGCTCCAAAGCCAAACAAAATACAAAACTAATGTAATTTATATCAATCTAACAGTGATTAAGGTTTATCCTTCACTTCCTCTCATTGTCTTTTAGCAACTTTTCTTCTGTTAGGATGTGGCAGTTTTAAAAATACATGTTATTTTTATTTATTTTGCAATTTTTATCTTTAAATGTCATTGTTTTGGCGTATTTTAAGTGTAGTATATAGTATTTTATTTTTGCCAAAATAGACATTTAAATGACCTTACCAGCATTTTTAAAATAGCAGAAGAAAGTAAATCTCTATTTTTTTTTTCCAAATCATAATTAAAAGAGTTTAATTACCTAGTGGCTGCTTTGCTAAACAGACTGTCTTCACTGAGCATTTTAGCAGCAGATCTAATCATTGTTGTGTTGATTGTGTCGTGGTTACTCCTGAAAGTTGGCCTTTTTAAAGTAGTAGCAGGTTTTTTGCCACTGGATCTTTGATGTTGTCTTGCAGCCAGAAAGCCTTTCTAGGAAATAAGTAAATTTACTACATATTGAGCCTATCCTTGATATTTAACACCCCACCAATCAAGGTGAAAGAAAGGGTAATGCTATCAAGGGTGACTGTTACTAAGAAAACATAAAGTTAGATCTTACGATTTGAACTGCTCCTGATGTTGGACCATGTTTCTGACGTACTGCTGACAGACGACTCTGGGCCTGTGTCTGAGCTGCTGTAGTTCGCCCAAACAGGCCGCTGGCTCGTCTTGGTCGTCTTCCTGCCATGACGCTCCTCTGAGCTCACCGGTGTGCTCGCCCTGACTGGTCCACTCAGATCAAGATCGTACCTGGACTTGACCTCTGCGGCCTCTTCGCTCAACGCTGGTGCGAGTGTGGTGTGGACGCTGGTCTTGTCCGTCATCCCCAGGTAGTGGCGGTAGTCTGTGGGGACGAAAGCCCGCGCTCGTGGAATCACAAACTCTGGCTCGAGCTGCCTGTGTTTCCTGCTCTGAGACCGGAGAGGACTTAGGTCCACTCTCAGTTGGGTTGGGTCTTTTTCCTCATCTACGCTCAGAGCGAACATGCTCGTGGCGCGGCGCAGAGAACTTCCACGGCTGCTGGAGATGCAGAAGCTGTCCTTTCTGCTTTTCGGAGATCGAATGTCTTTGGTTATGCCGCTTTGTGGCTTTGTGGACTTCTCTTCTCGACTGAAGTCCTTTGTGCTTCTTTTGAACTGTTTTTGCTGCCCTGTCTCAGCTTGTGTGTAACTGGGAAAGTTACTTTTGTTATCACTCTGTAGCTTTGATCCAGATCCAACCTGTTTATCATGTGGAGACTTTGACCGGCTCTGGGGAGAAGGAAACGACTTCATGGCGGCTCCTCTCGTTTTCTCAAGGGCAGAGCTTACATGATGAATCTCCGCATCGACGGACTTTAAATCCTGGGATGAAAGCTGGGAACGGAGGGGCTCTTTCCTTTTGGGGCTTTTGGGTTTGTCAAAGGTTAAAGACGCCTTAGAGTCAGCAGTAGCCTCGTCCCAGAACTCTCGCAGAAAGTTAAACTGGGCACGACTCGTTCCAAGACTTGGATTCATCTTGTCTAACCTCTGATTCAATGGTAGAACCGTAAAATTCTGGGGGTTCTTGTTACCGCCTTCCTCGTCGCTTCCCGAATCGTTTCCGATTGATCTCAAGTCAAACTCGGACTTCGTGAATCTCTTAGTCAGTTTTGTTTGATTCGCACCACGGGTCACTTTGCCCTCTCCAGGACCTTTAGGTTTGCCGTTGTAGAACACTGGTTTGTTAAGCTCCTGCTCCCAGAAGGACTTCAGCTGCTTTATCCTCTCCGCTGTGCTTTCTTGGTGTTGCGATGGTTGCTTGTTTGAGTATGAACCACCGGCCCTGTCCTTGGTGGCTGAATCGTCTTTTCTTTTGGGAGAGGAGCCTGAGTGCAAGTTTTTATCCTCGCTGTCTCTCCTTCTCACATCTTCAACCGAATCTCTGTGAATTTTGGCTTTCGTGGTGAGTTGCTCTTCATTCTCATCCATGTACAAGCCATTTCTGGACAAACTGAAACTTTCAGACTCTAAGCCGACCTTGCTTGAGAGGTCTGGATCAAGCTGAGATGCAGGAGCTTGCTTGGAAAGAAGGTCTTGCAAGAAAAATTCTTTAGATCCTGAAATGCCGTCTGGTTGTAGATTTGGTGTGGCCACAGAATCGCTCTCAAACTCTTGATCTATGATTGTCCTCTCTGATGGGTTTGGTCTGTTTGCAAGTAAAGCTTCTTCATCCAACACTCTCCTGTTGGCGGTTTGTAGATTGGATATTAACTTCAAATGGGTAGAGTCATTATTGTACTTTTCGTCTGCTTCTGACTGAATAGAGTTCACCATTTGCATTTTTTGGTTGTTGAGTGGCTGCTGCTCGCTTTCAACACTTTGATCTGGGGTGTACTTATCATAGAACCCCTTTCCACCGTATTTTCCAGGAACAAAGTGTACATCAGTTTCTTTGGCTGCAAAACCCTGAGTTGAGTTTACTCTGTCAGCCGGTGTCACGGATTTGCTGATAAGTACCTTTGGGCCCGCGTTGCTTTTCTCCCAGAATGATTTCAAATGAGAAATTTTCAACGACTGGCTTTCATCGCAACTATCCCCAACGTCCTGTGAATGCAGATATTGAGTGTCGAGCGTCTCCTTGCTTCCCTTTCTGTTGAGCTCATTGTTGATCTTTTGTAAGTGGCTCCTATTCGTCTCAGATCTATCTAGCTTTCTTTCACTTGTCCCTCTGTCGAATGACTCTTCCTCCCTTGATTTGCTGACAGACGCGTGCTTGTCAAAGCCCTTGCAGGCCTTTGGAGTGTCTTCTGAGTTCAGCCAGTCGCTGCTGTCCGTGCTGCGGTTGAACCAGTCCAGCACCTTCGCGATAGAGTCGTCCTCTTCGCCGGCGGGGCTCGTTGTTTGAGAGGACAGTTTGAAAGTGGTCACCTGATTAGGGTTCTGAGCTTGCTGATTGGATTTGTCAATGAAGTGGAGATCATATGACATAGGAGGGGTGGGATCTGGAAGTGGAGAAGGAAGCAAAGAAGATAAATACATATCTCACTGGTATGTGGTTTCCTTTAATTTATTACAGTGGTCAGAGTCAGAAGCGCAATATACCAGCCCATTTGGAAAGAAAAAAATTTACACCCTATAAACATTTCTACATTAATTTACAATAACACATTTTGATTAAGTCGCAGGCTAACACAAATTAAGTGATAGTTTGTAGGACTAGCTTTGTAAATCTTATGGAGTATGTAAGCAGTTTTAGACATCTGGAGAATTAAATGTTTCACTATTCGTCTTTGCAAACTAACACCAGCTCAGTCCAAATTGATTAAGGACAATATGTTGCCATCAACTGTAGTGTCTTCGAGATTTAGTTTTTATATATTTAGGTCTGAACTTTTGACTAGGTCATTCTCACATATAACCCTAATAAATACATTGGTTACCTGGATGTGTCTTTGGGTTTATTGTCCTGCTGGAAGGTGAACTTCTGCCCTAGTCTCAAGTCTTTTGCAAACTCTAACATACTTTCTTGTAGTTTTGCTCTGTTGTGTTGCTCCATCTTTCCATCAACTCCAAAAAACACATTTTCCTGTCCCTGCTGAAGAAAAGCAACCCCGACTCCAGCGGAGTGCACAACTAATCATCTTTTTAACAGATTCTCCAACCTGACCTCTGAATCCCTGCAGCTCCTTCAAAGTTTCTATGAACTCTTTGTTTTTTTTCTCTGATTATTGCTCTCCTTGCCTAGCCTGTCATTTGAAAAAGTCCAGTGGGCTTGAGTACTTTTGGGAAGCACTGCAATATATAAATTGTACAATTTTTACTCGTTCATTTTTTTCATGGAGTTCATTTAAATTAGTAATAAGCATTTATTTCTTGTTTTTATTTTTTAAATTGAAGCTTTAAAGCTTTCACTACTCCATAATATGTCCAAATCTGTAAAAAACGTCTTCCTTTTAACATTTAAGCTGTGTAACGATACTAGGTCATCATTTTCATATGAATCATGTCAGGACTGGAGGCTTGCCAGTGCGCTTTCCTCTCCCTCTGCAGCCATCTCTTTGCCATGTGTGCTCAGTGGGGGGTTTGCATTGTCCTGTTGAAAAATGCATGCAAAATATGCTGTGAAGGCAGCATATGTTGCTCCAGAACATTTTCTGCATCTTTCCAACTCTAATGCTGCTATCATCTCTAAGGTCTTTATGATCTGATTAGTCCTTTTCATGTTTGATCCAGAGCACATGGCATCAATTTCTTCAAAATGAAATAATAACTAGGATAAGTTTGGAATACAGACTTATCTGACGATAACAAATCCATTTATTGGGTAATAGTTTACCCATAAATGCCATTGATATCAGAATAATGAATGTCATCCAAGGATAACAGGAGGCTGATTTGCCTTTAATACCAGATCGCCATAAAATTTAACCTGCTGACACCTCCTGACTTACAGGTTTTGTTTTAAAATGTGCAGCAAGAAAAGCATGAAGCCATGGATGTGCATGACTTAAATCAAAATGGTGCTAAAATGAAAGAAAAAAGGACATTTTTGACCCCATTATTTATCTCTTAATGACCAGGTAAAGATAAGAAGCCATAAAATAAATGATCCAACCTTAGCTTGATTATGTTCATTCAGTGGGGAAAATGTGGCATGTTTTAGAAGAACTACATTTTTTTCTTGGAGTAATTTTGGTAGGCTAACTATTCCTATAACTGTAAGTGAAATAACTTAAAGCACTTTTTGTCAAAAGTGATTTTTTAATTCATTTTTTTGTGTGCCAAAATCAGCTTTGGCAAAACCTTGACTTGGGTTATTATTTTAGGGAGGTGATGATTATAGGAGAGATACTCAAACAAAAGATGAACTCATAGTTGAAAGAGGGCTCACCCAGTGTGTTTGGAGGTAAACTCATCTCCTCCTGCCGCCCTGCTGTTCCCACGCTGCTGCTTGTGTCTCTGTCCTGAACTTTATTACTCGGCAGGTTGAAAATGTTCAAGGTCGCGCGCTCTCTTTGATCGTCTCGGGCTTCGACCCACTGCTGTGTTGTTTCTCTGTCAGCGCTCACATCAGCCCAAGAGTGAGCAGCTGGTCTGAAATATGGCAGAGCTTCAGCTGGAAACGCAGACGGCTTTGGACGAGCATATCAAGTAAAGGTTTTTACTCACCGCTCTCTTGTTATTGATGCTGCATTCTTGTCTGTCTCCAGACTTGAATGGGAGGAAACCTGAGATACAGCACTGAGTGGCTGCAGGGAACTTTTATCTGCCGTTTTGGACGTCGGCGCAGAACCCGTCACCGGGACATAAACGCTTTGCTGAGGCGTTTCATCTGTAATCTTCAGGCCAGACTGGTTAGAGCTCCCGCTGGATCCCAGCTGGTGGCTTCGACGCGGGGCAGGAACAATGGCCGCGGGCCTCACCGCAGCTTTTAACCCCTGCTGGCTGCCGCGTCGAGGCAGGAACGTCCTCTTCTTTGGTACGGGCCTGAAGCCTGTGGAGGAGCTTTCTGATGTGACGGAGCCCCCCGAGGTCTGACTGGACTCCCCCGCAGGGGCATTCTTCAGCCGGGAGATTGCCTCTGGGTGGAAAAAAAATTATAAAAAAAGATAGTTACGGTTTTGACTTTTATCACAAACCTGTTTGCTCCAAATCTCAGCTTCCCACCTGACTCCTGCGTCTCCTGGTCCAGACGGGGAGCCGTGTTATGGTTGTTTTCAGGAGGTTCGAAAACAATGAGGGAAGCTCGATTAAAGGGGTTATTTCTCGGCTGGCAGGGGAATGAAAAGGACGAACGACTTAGATTGCAGCAGCTGCTGTGCCACAGAAAAAAACTACAAATGTACAACAGGAAGCTAACCTGTTAGCTCTAAAAACAATGCCTACCATTTTGGGGGAACGAACTGATGAGAATCGATTTTCCTTCTCAGCATCACTGCAGGGCAAAAGATAAATAGCAGATATTCTTAAAAAACTTTCGCAGGATGAAACGTAAAACATCATCAGCAATAAGCTGACATTAACGCATGACGTAAGAGTTTCCAAATCACTTTCAGGATTTCAGGATTCTTAAAAAAAAATTCTGGAACTTTTTGTGACACTTTTACATCAAGTTGGAGGTGTTGCAAATTTGTACCTGAAGTACAAATTTCAGGTACAAATTTGTACTTCTGTGATAACTTCTGTGAGATCTGAGATAATTTCCATTCTCTGAGAAACTTCCTATTACTTGGATTTATGCTTTGGCATCTAAACCCAAACTGCATGTCATGTTTATGATGGCGGTCTAAAGGAAACTATAAAATGAAAGATGAGGTGAGATTGACTTTTTCTTTCTGTAAAAGAGTTTCAATGCACCTGTGGGTCAGCTGACAGGTAAAAGTTGCTCATTAATATGCATCCTTGGGTCGTGCTAATGCAGTTACTACAGTAACGGGGGGCCTTTTTTCTTATTTTTTTTGGTAATAAATGCTCAAAAGTAACCTCGCTTAAATTTGTGGTCATTTCATTTATTCGATCAAGATTTCTGTTTAAACTTATGGATCTTTATTTACATATGTTCCTAAAATCTAACTACATTGATCGGGATTACAAATATTATCATGATCAGGTAGTCGGTTGTTCTCTCAAATATAAAATACCTGCAGTGTTTTCACGACTAGATTTGTTTTACCGCCTCATAAACAACTACAATACCTCCTAAAGGACTCGCAAAATGAAATGTAATCTAAAACATATTGAAGTTTGTAGTTCTAACATGACAACAACATAAAGATGTTATAGGGGGAAGAAAACTTTGAAATTCACCGCATGTGTAAAACACATGAATCAAATTAAATATAATATGAAATACTGTAACTCTGAACACAGGGCAAATGGGGGATGGAAGAAAATTAGAGTAATCTAATTAATATGACTGCACTTAAAGCTCATGTGATGAGGTAACAAATTTAAAAAGTACACAGTAACTGTAGCCTTTGTCACAGTGTAAATACCTGACAAGGACTTGGTGTTTTTACAGCCTTGGAAAAAAGTTTAAAAAGCTTAGCCAAATCAAATATTGACTTTTTCTCTTGCTGACAGTCTAAGCTGTGACCATGGTTATAAATATGCCTTTCTGTTATTACTTTTGAAAAGTCCCAGCAGTGCAGCAAGCTTATTTTAGAGAATCTTAGTCCATATAAAAAGTTTAAATGTTGCCAAGCTGTTGTTCTGTTAATTTTACGATGCACACTTCCAAGTGGGTTAGAAAACCGGCTGTTTCCAGGCAGCACCACCTATGTTTACATAAGCCGAGTCACAAGACTGTCTGCATGCTGGCAGGACGCCGGCGTCTTTAAGGGCCAAGCAAAGGAATGTCTCTCACATGTGAGGGAGAAGTATCTGAATCTCAAGCTGAATTTAAGATTTGTCACAAAATCAATGGAGCTCATTGGAAAAAAGCAGAAACAATCAAACTGATTGTGTACTTCATCTCCGGTGGTTGTGATGATTCGAAACACCTCGCAGGTTTTGGAGGAGGCGCTGCGTCCGAGCTACGGCTGCTGGGCGTTTTGCTTCTCTCCACTCGAACGGACCCGTCTGTCGGGGGGGAAAGGAGAGCGTATGTTTTAATATATGCTCTCCTATTCTGTCACCAAGACCTCAAAGTTTAAAATGCTGTATTTTTCGCACAGTTGGAACTTTTCCAGGTTTAAAAATCAAGCAGACCTAAACTAGCCGGCTTCCCTTGCTTCATGGACGCCAGGATGATTTCTGATCCGTGGATTTTGTCGCTGTGTCTTTGGGACTTGGCCGCGTAGAACCATTCCCCCGACAGGTACTTCAGCTTCACATCTGACTGAGACCCGCTGTCCAGAACCTTCTCCAGTTTCCTGTCATGAAAAAGAAAAAATCTAAATTGACCAGAGGATTTTTTTTCTGTATTGCAACTTCAAGTCACTTTTAAAGATGGAAAAAATATGAGCTAACGTCAGCAAACAAAAAGGAGTTAGACGATATTCGTTTACGCTGAAAGACGACTGGAACCGCATTTGAATATGTTACAAGTCAAATTATCAACAAGTCATGAAAACAGAGAGTAAACAAGCTAACCAGGCTAACTTAGCCTAGCCCATCAGCAGACAGCTTACATGACAACTATTGCTAGCTATGGGAAAGATAGGAATGTATTCAAAGATTTCAGCATGGTGTGCTTATCAAATATATATTGCGAAATATAAGGAAATTAAGCAGAAGGTTCTGGTGGGACACATTATCAGTCACTGACAAGAAAAAGACAACGCTGCCGTTGCATCACTGCAATGTAAAGTCACTATGATTTCAGGTTCATGCTGTACACCATATTGCCAAAAGTTTTTCCCTGCCTGCCTTCATACACATAAACTTAACTAAAATTCAGTTTTTAATCTAAAGGGTTTAATATGACATTAGACATTTAGCCTTTTGACTTTTCCTCTGGAGGAAAGACCCAAACTGATTTTTATCTTGAATTTTATTTGATCAGTACATGTCAGACAGGTTCTATTTGTAATTAATCACAGTTAATTTATTATTTGACAGAGAGGGTATTTACTTTTTTTTTTACCTAGTCAAGTTGGGTTAGAATAACTTTTTTTCTCCCTAAAGGATTATACATTTTCCATGCACAAAGCAGCATTTTACGGCATAATCAAGTTGCCATTAGTTCTTACAAAAAGACAGCATTTATCAAAGATGACTTCAAAAAATTGATTTCGTAATTTGACACCTTAAAATTGGGTCTCTATCTCTTTAAGATGCTCCTATTCTTTCCAACACTCTGCCCTCAACACATCGTCACAACAGTGCTTCTAGTTATGCCTTGAGTAGCCTCTCTAAGGAGTGTTGGACTGAGTAATAGTTCGTATGAGGAGCTCCACAGATGCACAGTTTGATCACCGGGTGTTTCCTAATTGCTGCTGCCGCTAGTCTGTAGGAGCTGATGGGGCAGGCACAATGGAGGGATGTCCAGCTGAAAACCACGGCTCCAAGGAGGAGCTTAGCTGAAAAAGGCAGGGCTTTGTGAGAGCAAGCACTTAGGCACTGTGAATGGTTGCCGTGGGAGATTCAAGGATGTCTTTAGTGAGGGAAAAAAAAGTTTTCTGTCTTGGTTTTGTTCTCTGATCTTTGGTTCTTTGTGCAACAGGATGAATCCATCACTTCACTTCCATTACCGTTTCCATCAACAGCGTTACATAACTGCTTCACATGATCACTCTCAAGACAGCAAATTGGAAAACATCTCAGTCGAGTTAAAATAAAGTTAGAGAGGGATCAAAACAAATTTCACCACTCCGGCTCATCTTTCTGCTGGCCGGGGGAAACCACGGCCGTCATGTGAGGCGGAGGTAGCGCATTATTACAGGCTGCTGGCTTAATCCTTTTCACATCAGACCGGACGAGACACAGCCATCATTCAGGTAATGAAGTCAGCTCTATTAAAACGCCCAATGAAGAGCTCTTTGTTTTACAGCAAAAAAATTAAACACATTTCCAAATCAGGTGTATTTATTTGTTTGTACATTTACAGCTGAATTGGAATTTCAGAGACAGATCCTCAAATTCTCCTGAAGGTCGGGAGACAAAAGCCTCAACTGTTTGCAGAAGAAGGCGATTTGAGCTTAACGCTCGTTTTGAAGGCTGTCACGGAAAATTTCTGCAACCTAGCTGTAATCTAATTGCTCTGATCGCATTTAGGTCCCTCAGTGTCCGGCCCCAGACAGGCCGTTATTGTGTTACGCACCAAGCAAAGACTGTCTCCTTCATGAGGTTTGGTGTTGGTGGGATGGTATGAAAAGACATTAACTTAAACTCATATTAGCTTTCATTTCAAGTCTACTAGAACACTCAGGTTTGTGTAAGAAAATAACGGCAAGGAGTCTTTCAGGGAAAAGCAGACTGTGTGAATCTTTCTCCACCTGATTCTCTCCTCCTCGGCCCTCTTCAGCTCCTCGTCCCTCTTCAGGACCGTCAGAATCACCTCCTGCTCCTCCTCCGTCAGGTGGCTCAGGTCGATCATGGTTTCCCTCGGCGGACAGGTGTGAGAACGCCCAACGCGCGCTGGCTCTGTTGAACAAATACCACCGTTTACCTACTGAGAAGGATGTATTTGTTCACAGCAAGATACCGCAGCAACAATACACTGAAAAAATGAAAACAGAGGACAGAAAGGTTGCTTTCTCACATGGTGCACAGTCCATGTGAAGGACTACTGAAAATTAAGCCATTAAAGGTTATTTTGGGGAACTGTCGCCAACAACGAGCTTCTGATTATGATTAATAGATGTTGGTATTCAGCATCTATATTTAATTTAGAAACGAGCAGAGCCGGCCAAAGGTTATATGGGGGCCGAAGTGGAATTGAAATTAGTGCCCCATTAGCGATTTGAGTGGCCAGTTGTCATTTATTTATTTGTTTTTAGTCAAGGCATAAAAAAAATATATATTTTTTTCCACATAAAGGTTTCTCAAAGGTTTTTTAAAAAGAAAAAAAAACTGCAGCTAATTCTGCTTCACACTTGTTTGGGTGTATTAAATCATAACGGGCACAATAATCAAGCTGATTAGCATTAAACGTTAGGGACAGAATACTAGTAAACACCTCTAAAGGAAGAACAATAATATGAAAATAACTTTTTGAACAGACGTTTTTGAGCATTCTTCTTCAGCTCAGTTCTCCTTTTCCTGGAGTTGAATCTGTTGGCAAAACCTTTAAGACTGAAGGTGTTTTAGCTGTTTAATAACTGTAGTTCATCCTGATTGTCTTCATCTTGAACTGTATCGCTTCCTCACCATTAAATGAGAAGAATTCAAAGACAATATTAAGCGTTGAGAAATCCTCATTATACAAGAGAAACCAGAGAATCTTGAACCATTTTTGTAAGGCCAAGTAAAAACTGCCTCGATTTGCGCACACAGAAAAGACAGGAGTTTAGAAAAGGGGTTTATTTTTGTTGTATCTAGTCATTGTACTCGTATGCCATACCTTGTCACTTCATACTCAACTTTTTGGGTGTGAAACATTGTTGCATAATGTGAGATGTTTTGCACCAACCACGCATTAATTGTAATGCTTCGTCTGGACAAAAGGTACCCACATGGATAATCTATGATTCAAAACAATTTTCTGTAATCCACTTTTGCTCTGAGGAATGTGGCTTTATGACAGTCAGTAAATGCCATACAGCACGAAGTCCCTTGGTGTTTTGATGAACGGTCAACTCATGTTTAATAAGAGACAACTGTCTCTATAATGGGATCAGAACAATTTAAAAAGAAAAAAAAAATCATAGAATAATAACGTAATACAATTAAAAATGTACTTGAGATTAAAAAAAAAAAAATTATTCATCCATAGTTTGGAACAATGCTGAACTACAACAAACTTATGTCTATAGGTACAACTTGAGATCATAATGGCAAGTTGAACCAGAACCACAACAGAACCAGCCAAGAGGGGAACCCACCCTAAATTTGGAAATCAGTTTAGCTAATCGATTATTTTCCCCCACTGTATTTTCTGGATGTGTAAACTGCTTCTTGTTTAAATATTCCGGGTCTTTGTCTTGTTCTGGACAACCCAGAGGTTAAACTGGAGCTGGGGCAGTTTGCTTAAGAAGTAGGTAGTTGACGCAACAGGTAAGACAACTTTTTTGTTGCATCCTGCCTCATTTCTTCGTCCAAATTATTAGAATATTTTTTGAAAAACTTTAGTAATTTAAGACAAAGAGTCAATAATTTACTGAAACACACAACGATGAAACCTCTCTGTACGATCGAAAACAGATGGATAGTTTTCACCTACCTTTAAGGATAACTTTGCGACTCAGAACCTCGTATTCAGAAGGGGGGTAAAAAAAAAAAGCATAAGAATGATAAATGGATAAAAGTTTTTAACTTCACCTCCGCAGGTCTGCTGATACTGCTGGATGCGCTCGACGGGAACGGAGGAGAGGGGGCGGACGCTCAGCGTAGGGATGGGGAGGATCTGACAAAGACGAGCAATGATGAGGAGCAGCCATTGTATTATATCACCGCCGTATCCGTCTACACCACAGCATCATCCAGCGGCTTAATGTAGGTCTGGATGATTAATGTCGACTGCCGTGTCTCCTTTCGAAACGGACTGAAGAAACAAGTCTCGGATGGGCGTGTTAGACCGAGACCGGCCTGGGCTGCAATGACAGGCATTATCCAGCAGGTGTCGCCGGTGGAGATGCGGCTACTGTTTGACAAAAGGGTGTGAGCGTCTTCCAGACAGGCGGAATGAACAGGACGGGCTGAGGTCAAACAGCAATTAAAGCTGCGCAACACGAAGCTGTTTCACCATCTGCGCTACGGTTCGGAGGAATAAACCCCCCACTGCGACTGCGAGGTGATTCTCTGACCTTCAACACACAATAATGGATGAATCTATCTCACACTTTCGGTGTGGTCTGTGTATGAAAGCAGGGGGAATCATACAGCATATAAACAGTTGTATGGACATCCAAAAGTACCACAATTCAAGAAATAAATCATTAAGTCATGACATTAATGAGCCCCTTCTAAACTAAAAATGTAAATATGCAATATATTAAAAATTTAAGTAGTTGTGAACTGCAAAAAAATAAAATAAAATAAAATAAAAATTTGCACCATCAAATGTAAGTAAGCCTTATTTAGGAAGACTACCACTACAACTGTCTGTGCAGGTAATTTAAACAAATGTAAGGAGTTATTTAAACTACAAGGAGAGTTCAGATTGTTTATTTCCAATTTCAATTTAATTATACGATTAAAAAAATAGTTGTAGGTTGTAGTTTTGGCACTTAATTTGTTTTTATATGTACATTTTTGTGCCACTCCTGTAAGAATCAATGGAATATGCCAGTAATTTTAAATGATCTGCTTGTTTTACTCAAACCAGAGAAATGAAGCTCTGTAAAAAAAAAAAAGACACATTAGATTACTAGAACAATGTTAATATTCTTTCAATTTTTTCAGAAAAGATATTCAATCTTAAAAGATAATTTTTAGCATTTAATCACATTACAAAATAGTGAGGATACAATCTTTCAATAAAAACATGAGAAAGGGGGTAAACTGGATGTAAACAGGAAAATCAGCTTCAGCTTACTGAAAAATGTTTGTGTTGTTTTTCACAAATCCTAGGATAATACATTAGAGTTAGTGGTTATGAGACAAAATGGAAAAAAGTTGCAAGGGCACTTGCAACTTTTTGCACGTGGCCTTGAAAAAAAGGGCACTTGCAGACTGGAAGCTGACTAAGCACTTGTTCGATGCAGGTACATCAACAAAATTTGAATATTAATGTATTGCGTCACCCATTTCAGAAAGTGACACACATTGTGTACAAATTCTTTAAACATCTTGTACATGTGCACAGTGACAAATCCTAATTCACCAGAAGTAGTTAAAATACATGTAATGAAAAAATGCATTTTCTGGTAAAGTCATAATATGTTATCTGAAAGTTTTCCACCAAAAAAGTCAGTCAACTAAAATCAGAAGGTATGAGGCTGCATTAATGCTAAATGGCTCCAATAATGATTGAATAGTGAACATAAAAACATTCTGAAAATTGATGTTTCCTCACATATATTGTCTGGGGGTTTCCCCAAACAGGGTCAGAAGTCAACGCCCTGATCTACCCAACATTAAGAACGAGAGAATCACACACCAACGTTTGTGGAAGCTGCTCTTTATTTGAAAAAGAAAAAAAAAAAAAAAAGACATTGTCTGCTACACGATCTAATTACATAAAGAAAATATCTGCGGAGACAAACGCAGAGAATATCCTGAATCAAACTTAGGTAGAGTCAAATTTGATTGAATTGCTTTCATATTTCATACATCTTTCACTTTGTGCGCTCAAAGAACAGTCGAGTGTTTATGTACAACGTGGCACCGATCAACAGTGCTGCTCTGCTCTACGACCCCGCTCCGCTCTCACTCTTTTGTACAGCTAATTTACACCAAACCCTTTTTTTATTTATCTTTTTAAATCACTGTGACGACAATCTAATCAGCCGGCCTGCCTACCTGCTAACCCACCCCCCCCATACTGACCCCACCCCATCTCTCTGAGAAACTGCAGCGTGGAAAGATGTGTGCAACATGAAGACAACTCGTTCACATTCAGAGTAAAGGCAGCCTTGATTACAGTCAGTGAGTCAACGGCATGCCAAGCTTAAAGCAAATGGAGCCCACCACCCCAGTGCTGCCCCTCAGATTTTGTGGATGAAGTGGTGTATTTTATTTTTTTTCCCAGATCTGTTGCGAAATAATAGTAATTAAAAAAAAACCCTAGGCACGCTATATACTGTTAACTGATTCGTACTCTAAGCCCCGCCCCTCCCTGCGCTGTAAGTACAATGGAGATCGTGAAATCTTTCATCTAGTAAAAAAAAAAAAAAGTCCTTAACACAAAACTCAATATTTAGTGCTCTATCATTCCGCTTAATAGGTGTAA